AGGAAAGGAAAGTCAAACCATTTCATTTCACTGACAACCAATATCAATTCTAAAAAGTAACAGATTTTAGAAATTCATAGCTTTTTCACCTGCAACAAGTGCATAATATTGGCTTAGTTGCCATATAGCAAAAATAAACTAATACATCTTTCTGTGAGGACAGTGTTTCATGAACTGTAGGTGGTAAATATATGAAAGAATATCAAACTTGGGCAGCTACTTATGCATAAATTCATTTTAAAAAATATATAAAAATACCGAACAGAAGGGGAGGCAAAGAAACACCACTGTTATTCTCTGTACAAACAAAATAGGTTACACAAAGTAGTAAATCCCCTCAAGGCATGTACAATGTCCCTCAATAATTTGCAGTGAAAACCCCCTTTAGCAACAGGTTTGTACAACCATGACAGTTTTGACAAGTAGTTTAGATAACTATAAATATATATATTTAAAAATCACATTCAGTTTGATCTTCCTACTGCAATCTCCTCCTTTTTTTGTTTCCCCATTATAAAAAGGAGGAACTTCAAGCAAATATGTATTTGAAAAATAAACAAAGGGTAAAACTCCTTACCCAAAATTTATTAATGGCATGATTTACATCATTTTTATTTATTTTTTGGAGAGGGGGGAATCTCTATTCACTGTTGCCTTCTGAAATGCATACAAAATGACTTCTGTAAACACGGGTGTAAACTTTAGAGAAGTGTAAATGTATGCATGTGTGCAGCTGATTACCAGTAGGAGTGAAAGCTTCTCAAGTGTAAGAGGATATAGAAATTCATCCCAAAATAACAAGGCACTGTTCTAAAACAGCATGTGAAAAGCAACAGAGCCAATGGTGCTATATCACAATATCACATTTTAAAATCACACATGCTCACGTTTCCCTTTAATACACAGTATCCTGTTAATAGCTTTCCTAGCATACAAAGATCTTTTTAATATTTACCTATTCCAAGTGCAGCACAATTTTAAAATCCAGAGAACAAAGACTAGAGGAGCAGGTGAGAGGGGAGAGAGAGAGAGAGAGAATGAGGGAGAGACATTTTGTCTAGTCACCTCTTGCTTCCAACCTTTTTGTTGAAACAGGATTTTTTTTCTTCACTTCCAAGCCACTAAAAAAAGTCAGGCTGTCATATACTGCATCAGATACCAAATTCTGTTGCAAAGTAAATTCACAGTTTACAGCATAAGCATAGCCATACCCTCTCCACCTAGTGCAGCAAGACATGCTGGCTGAAGACAGCATCTGCAATCCTAGTCACATAACCTGGGAGCAAGACCCATTGCATGTTGTGAGACTTGCTTCCAAGTCAACACAACAGGCTCATGCTTCAAGAATGCTTGTTTACAGAATCATCCGGTATACAAAGGAAAGCCTTATCATCATAGGAAAGCTATTTTCTGAATGCAAAAGTTTTAAGGAGAAATATTTCCTGCAAATGTCAAGGTCTAAACCTTTCAGCATTTTTTTGTGCACTGTAGTCAATTAGTGGAGTTTGGTATGTGTTATTTGGTCAAATTTAAATCCATTCTACTTTTACTTTCCTAATTTACACCAGAGTATACCTTACACTGCCATTTAATGTAAGAACCACCCCACAATTTCAAAGGATGAGATGCCCAAACTGTCTCACGATGTATGAAGATATGCTGGCTGTGCTGAACTCTAACCTGCACCCATAAAGAAAATAAGATAGAAAAGTGAGGCCAGTGTTTGTCTCTGTAGGTAATACAATGCACATGGTTGCATTACATAGGGAGGTGCAAGACTTGATCCCTCAGGCACTGTAAAGAGTATATATTCTGAGACAACTAAATAAATAAATAAATGCACTACTAGAAGGAAGATTGTTTTCCCGCATATAACTTGCTGCTATAACTTCAAGAACATTTTGCTCTCCAGAAATACATGAAAAACAAATGTCCTACAAATTCCGATATCTCTCCCCTCTCTATTTTGGAGCTTTATATTTTATTGCATTGATAGCCCCCATTCAAATGTTAAGCACATGAAGATGGCCAACCGATTACAGGACTCCCACAGTTTGTGGTTCTCTGCACTAAGCATGGATGTCCAAGCTAGGGAAGCCTGTGTGTCTAGTTCTGTGTGAATAGGTTTCTAGCTTCTATGGAAGCTTTTAGGTGCAGATGTCTACGTGTTGTAGAGCTTGCCCAGCTCAGATATCCAAGGTCAACTTATAGATATTAAGAAGCATGATCAGTAGCACATCCTTGCTGCCCCTTTTAAGGTGAGGATCCCTTTCAGTTACCACATAAAGGCGAGTTATGTTGCTTTCCTTTGGAAGACAGAACAATGGCACTGGTTATTGACAGCATTGACAAGTTCCTTTGTTAGAGAGTGATAACATTTAGTAATAGATTTAATGGGAGGCAATGAATTCTCCCTGCAGTAAAATTAAGTTAGGTAAAGTAGCATCAACAGCAAACACACCTCAGTCTATGAAATGTTCTTCCATAACACAACTTTTTTTAAAAAATATACTTAATTTTCAGAGGAACATCATTGCTTCTTCCTATTTGACCAAGTAGTGGTTTTCAGTTATGTCATTTGCTGCCACTGAAGAAATCAATTAGGTTAAAAAGATCCCCAGCAAAAACATATCTAGCCCTCTTGTAAACTACAGTAGAACTGATGATAGACTTAATATATTGGCATCTTTAAGTTCATTTAACAGATTGCACGCAAGTATTCTCGAGTAATTCCTAACATAATTTTCCATACTATATATATATATATATATATATATATATATATATATATATATATTCTCAAACAGGAACTGGTGTTTGTAGGGCTAACATCAAGACAAGTAAAGCTGGTAACTGATGCAACCCTACAAAATGGCTTGACTAAAGAAAGAGAGAGAAGAATTAAATCTGATTGATAATGCAAGTAAGATAATTTATTAATGCCTGTGGAAGTATGAAACCCCTGCTTACTCTCACTATCTAAAGCTTTTTAAAAGAATTCCCTCCTCCAAAAACCTCTCATACAGAAGAAATCAGTGCATTAATAATAGCTCCAATATATTAACAGTTTTTATTTGTACCTTGTGGAGGTCTGGTCACTTCATGAATAAAAGTCAGTACTGTTTCCTTTTTGATCCAAAAGACCATACAATTAGTTCCATAGGCACAAAGGAGAGTTGTTCTAATGCTTCTCAAGCAACTGCACCACTATTCCAGGTGACAAATCTCTCTTGAAACTAAGGGCAGTTTCAGAAACAGTTTGTGACATGGACTTAGAGGATTGGCATTCCAAAGGAATAATGGTAGTTTCCATTGGGTATATACATAAAGTAGCTCTTTGGATCCTGAAATTTGTGTACAGTCATACCTCGGGTTACAGACGCTTCAGGTTGCACACTGCGCCGAACTCGGAAGTACTGGAATGGGTTACTTCTAGGTTTCGGCGTTTGCGCATGCGCAGAAGCACTAAATTGCTCTTTGCACATGCGCAGAAGCGTGTGCGCAGACACACGGGTTGCAAACACTGCGGGTTGCGAACGTGCCTCCTGCATGGATCACGTTCGCAACCCAAGCGTCCACTGTACTTTAAAAAATGCGATATGGCATCAATTGTTTTTGGTCAGGGCTCAGCCTATGACACAGAACAGGTAAAATTCATAGAAATGTAAGATGCTTATATCCCATTGAAATCAATAGGACCCCAAACAAAATCCCATGTGCTTAAGCAACTAAAATTCATAGAATTTAATGTTATGGTTTCAATGAGACCTAAGCATGTTTAACTTCTGCTGGACCACAATGAATGTATTTATGTATAGCCTCACTTAGAGCAACATGCACTGAGCTTCTGAGATTCACATAAACTCAGTGTTTGCAGATCTATCCTTCTGAAAACAATGTTTGTTAAAAGATTGTTTACTGAAACACTACAAAAGTTGGATAAAAAACTTAACCCTTGCAGGAAGAAACAAAACACACAAAAACAAAACACCCCTATACAGTTCTTTTTAAAGTGCACAAAGATAAGTAGAATCTATTTTGAATATTACTACAACTCTTGGAAATGTTAAATTAAATAGAGACCTTTTGGCTCTGCTATGGTCCCATCTGCACTATACATTTAAAGCAGTATCAAATCACTTTAAAGAGCCATAGCTTCCTTCAATGAATCCTCGGGATTATAGTTGGTTAAGGGTCCAGTGAGTTGTTAGGAGATCCCTATTTCCCTCACAGAGATACAATTCCCAGAGTGGTTTAACAATCAATCCTTCTTCCCTGGGAGCTGTGGGAATTGTAACTCTGTGAAAGGAATAAGGATCTCTTAACTCTCAGCACCCCTAACAAGCTACAGTTCCCAGGATTATTTGGAGGAAGCCATGACTGTTTAAAGTGGTATGATACTGCTCTAAATGCATAGTGGATATGCGGCCTATGTTGGCATAAAACAGTAACATCTTTTATTTTTTTAAAAAGTAAGTATTCAGCCCAATGTACCATAAAATAGCAGCATTAAAAACATCTAAAATTAAGTGGACCTGCAGTCATTGAGCATCAAACTTGAGAAATAATTCAAATAAGTCTTCCTCTCCACTGCAGAAAGCTGTAGGTAGTGGCCACAATCCACAGAAAGCTACACATGTGTGCAAGGGGGAAAACTGCACTTAGCAGGAGTTTTCTTTGAAGTTTTCGTTGCTGCTGTTGTATCTGCTGAAGGAGGAACCTAAACTGCAGCAGTGGAAGCTGCTGTGGCAAACAGAAATCTCTGTCTGTATTATTCTTCCTTTGTGCACCATGGAGCTTTTTGGGTTTGTAGCCAATATCTTTGTTTAGTCATATACTCCAGTAGCAAAGTCCAAATATGATCTCTCTCTTGAAATTGCACATGGCAGCTGGAATACATACTAAAGTTACAAACATGGCAGCTAAAGAAGCCATTGTATTTCAATCCACCAAAATTTACGTACATCAGAAAAAGAACAAGTGTCCCTTTGCTGCAAGTTTCACACAACTGACCGGTGCTCCCCACACACATATACTGCGCTAGGCCGGATACGTCTTCTGGTGTGACCAGGTAGCTGTGGCAAAAACTTGAAGTACTTCGGCATCAAGTCTAAGCATGCATCGTGAAATTTCTTGATCCTCCAGTAGTAAATCAATGGGTTCAGGGCAGACTTGAGGTAGCAGAGCCAAAGGAGCCAAGCGCTTATCTCAAAGAAGTTGTGCTTCTGATCGAAGTGGCTGTTGAATGTGGCAATAAGGCTGTAGGTGGTGAAGGGCGCCAAGCAGATTATGAAGACAATGAACAAAATCAATATGGTGGTGAAGGCACGAGTTTTAAAGCTCATATCAATGTTCATCTGAAAGGGTCTCTGAAGGCTCATGAGACCAAGTTTGCTAGCTTGGCTGAGGCATATGCTATCTGGGTGGCTGTGGATGCGAACTGCGTTGTGCCGTACAGTGTTGAGGATGCCCATAAAAGAATACAACATCACCAAGAACGGGATGAAAAATGAAATCAGTACCACCAGTATCACATAGGCACGGTAGCCAGGGCTTGTGGTGTAGCCAAACACACACTGAGGTGCTCTGGAAGGTAGCAGGTTGGGGTTTCCCAAAGAAAGTGGGAAAGCAACAACGAAGGCTGCAGCCCACGAGACAGCAATGAGGAACTTTGCACGGTATGGATTCAGCTTATCCTGCCTCTGAACTATTATAAGGAACCTGTCAATGCTAATGATAAGCAGAATGGCCACCCCTTCGATGACAAATAGCCAGAAAAACATGGCCGAGACTCTGCAGAAGATATTCCCAAAAACCCACCGGGTTGTGATGACAGTTATCAGAGCAAAAGGCATGTTCAGCACAGCAAGCAACATGTCTGCAAAAGCCAGGCTAGCTAGGAGAATGTTAATAGCCGATCGCATTGCAGTCTTCTGATAGACCATTAGGCAGACAACAAGGTTGCCAAGGAAAGAAACGAGGAGTATAAATATCATGGCAGCAGAAAGAATTACCTGGAGTGGCAGGCTTAAGCTCTTGGAGCCTGATTGCAATGGGTGGGCAGTTGTAGTGTTGGTTGTCAGAGTAGTTACCTCAGTGATAACCATGGCACCCAAGTGATATTTCAGTGGCTGCGTTGTGCCACTACGAACCAAGAAGGAGGGGGTGGTGATATTTGCGTACATATTTTCATAGACAATAAAAGTTGCATTGAATGTCCCAGAATGAGCAGACGTCAGCATTGCAGAAAAAACCATCACTTCCCACAGAGCAGAATGCAAGGGAGAGATAAAGAGGCTTCAAGGCATTTTAGCATATAAGGGTGGTGTCATGATCCATGGCCATGCCCCAAATCGTAGTTAGAGATCCAGCAGGGGGAAAGTAAAGCTTCACCCTTCATGGCAGTGCTTTGGTCTGAAAAATCAAGCAGGAATTAGAATGTTAGACGCGAGTATCATGTTGTTGCTTTTGCTTAGTGTTAACACATACTGAAGACAAAGTTGGGGGTGGGGAAGCATCTACTACAGAAATCAAGGGAGGATGCAGTGCTGCATATGGATATATGATCAGAAAAGCTGCACAAGTAAACCCTAGAGTACCAAAAAAAAAAGTACATAGTAGCCTCTCTTTCCTATTGCATTGTCCTGTGAGATTCTGTTTCCGAGAACCTTGCAACAGTTAAGAGTTACAAAGGCACATTCAGACATAATTTAGGAGCAGGAACCCCTTTGCAGCACAACTTTCTTCAGACAAGTTTCTGCTGTGAGTAGGAGACCTTTAGAAAGTCTGTGTGAGTATTAATTCACTTTAGTCTATTCTGTTGTGATTTTAACTTTGTAAGTTTTAAATTACAGTTGTAATTTTTTTAGTGATAATTTTATTATACTTCTTGTAAAGTGATTTGAGGGGTTTTTCCAATAATCAAGTGGTATATAAAAGTTATAAATAAATAAATAAAGTAAGTAAGTAAACAAAATTTTGGCAAGTCAATTTAAGTCCAATAGTCATCCCTTTCTCTAGTAACAGGCTATGCTCTTTACAGGTGTTCATTGGAGTACTTGAGAAAACATATGTGTTTATGCTTCCATTAAGAAGACTTTTGTGTGGGTTTTGTTTTTGGCAGATTCTCTATGTTCAGAAGGACAACAAATGTACACCACACTGTAGGGAATCCACTTGATTGTCACCCCTGCTCCTCCCTAGATAAGCAGGTAGTGTTGTAGAGTAGAAACAAGGTAGGCTCTTGTGTCTTGTGGGGAAATCAGATGCTACTGTCAAATATACTTTCATTTAGTTGTCATGTAAATGTTAGTGGTAGTCTAATGGGAACATACAAACCACATGAAGGGTAGCTAAAGTAATGGTCTACAGCAGGACTGGGGACTTGGCTTGATGTCGCAGTGATGTCAACCCCCAGGGGTCTTTAGATGCCCCTTTCAAAAGTGCTTCCTTGCCCAGAACTTTGCAGGCACCACCAACAGTGCCTGCATACCCGCTTTACAGCTAGGTTGAAGTTAAACCCATTTCCAAAGCAGCAGTTACAAATGACTGTGAGCTGCAATTAACCACTTTCACATATACACATATCAATGATATTGATATCAATGCTGATGGAGTATGTCTTAATTCTAATAATTAACTGGGACATAAACATGAGGACAATGGCAAGGGGTTTCAAAACTTTAGTGAGATTTAGCAAACCATTTTAGGTATATTTCAACCAAGACTATCCTTTTCTTTCCCCACCCCCACCCCCGAAAAAAAGCTTAAATATGCCATCTACAATAGCAATTGAAATGAAATTTGGGTTATTTTTAGTTGCGATGAGTTGCATAAAAAATCTCTGGCAACGAAGCCCATAAAGGCCTATGACTCAAATAATACAGCAAGAAGCAAGGAAAGACTAACAGCAGTAGCCCACGGGGGGAGTGATGTAAAAGGTAGCATGACAGGAAAAAATAATTCAGGTGAAGAATAAAAGATAACAGAAAACAGGGGAAGCTGTTTCTGCTTATGTGCTTCAGTTCTTTGTAACATATATTGGGCAAGTCAGTAAAAATAGCCAGCAGGTTAAGTGAAGGAACTAGAGACTTGGCATATATTGCTGAGATTATTCTCAAGGATGTCCCAGTTCAGGGTAGTGTTTGATTTTTGAAGCATAGGTGGTCTGTAAGCTCAACTGAACTAAAGTTCATGTGAATTAATGTAATAGCACCAGGAGAGGGAGAAGGTCTAGAAATTCACCTCACTCCTGGAGAATGAAGAATCAGTTAGGCCAGGGGTTTCCAAACTGTGGTCCATATACAGCATCTAGTACAGATCATTACAATTGCTACAAGAAGCATCAAAATTATTAAGTGGTTCTCCAAGACACTCAGCAAATTCCAAGCGGTCCATGGGGAAAATAGTTTGGGAACCAATGACTTTCTTAAGCCATCTTTGTGTGCCTGCTTGAGATCTGCTGTGGTGATGTCTCATAGAGCAGTGGAAATGTTTGTGCGCACATGTTTGTAAGTGCAGCAGTATGGAAGAGGGACTTTTTGTCACAACTACCGCTTTTGCGGTAAAAGTCACAATGTGCAAGCATAGCCTTAAAAATGTAGGACCTATTTAAGCAATGGTACAATGTCCTATAACGCATGAATCTCCAGTAAAAATAAAAGTAAAATCTTTACCAAAATCTTCAGTAAAGATGAAGTCGAGTTACATCAGAATCCTAACCATGTTTACTCAGAAGTAGGTCCTACTGTATTCTGTGGGACTTACTCCCAGGTAAGCAGGATCAGGATTGCAGTCTAAGTGGCAGTCCAAAGACCACCAAGTTGCAAGTATCTAATGCATTTCCACACATTTTCCCCTATATAAGGGCTGAACTTCATTATTAGATTCAGATAAAATGAAGGAAGTGATAGTAACTTGTTTCAACCTGTCATCTTAAAACAATTTGTATGTTCTTTTATACTTCATGAACAAGATACTGTTTACCTGGGATAAAAATGTTAATCTGGTGCTGGTTTTTAAAAATCGAGTCGATGGATTGTAAGAGCAGTCAGTTGCACCCTATAACAAGCCTTTCACTGCTATAATTTATGTAACCATAAAAACAAAATTAAATTGGGTACTTAGGAAGGCTCTTATTCCCTTCAAAGGGAAATAATAGCTCAAAGGGGTCATGAAGCCATCTTAGAAGTTTTCTCCCCCAGTTCTGTGACCTAAGTAAATGACATTATTACATACATCCAATTTATGAAGGAAGAGATTATAAAAGAACAATAAAATTTTAATGGGGGGAAACTGCATTCTCAAGGAGATAATCACCATTTGATTTTCTCTTTCAAAAACTTATCAGCCTAGGCAGCTCTTTCATTTGTTTCAGCATTAATTCAATAACTGACAGACCAATGCTTGTGCTCAAATGAAGTCAAAGATTGTTGGACAGATGACATGCTGTAATTACCAATAAAGATTTATCATTGCTGTTCTGCTGAACAAAGGTAAGTAAATATCAGCAATAAATTGCAATTGTATCTCACAGACTAGTCCAATATGCCAGTTGTATGAAACATGACTGCTATCAAGCATTCAGCACTGCCAGAACTTAGAAGAGCTTCCCCTGCAGCCAACATCTTCAGTAATTCCTGAAGAAGTTGCTTCCATCTATTCTAGTAAGAACTGTTACCATAAAAAGTCCATCCCCACTGGCTATTCTCCCAGCCCAGATGCTTATGGACAATATCATGAAGGAAGATAATGATCACTATGCTGGTGAAAAAGACCCTAGCATGCAAAAGGGGCTTATGCACTGCTGTAAAGTATTGCCTGCAATCATAGAGCTAAAAGTTAATAAAATGTCAAGACAGCATGTCATATAGTTTCTGTACTAGATTCAAACAATTATTCCTTTCAGTAGTACTGGAAATACAGTGGTACCTTGGGTTAAGAACTTAATTCGTTCTGGAGGTCCGTTCTTAACCTGAGGTACCACTCTAGCTAATGGGGCCTCCCGCTGCCACCGCGATGCGATTTTTGTTCTCATCCTGAAGCAAAGTTCTTAACCCGAAGTACTATTTCTGGGTTAGCAGAGTCTGTAACCTGAAGCGTCTGTAACCCAAGGTACCACTGTATATAATTCACTACTTGTCTCTAAACATCACAGTTTAACATACAATGTGCATCTTCACAAGGCGTTAAGAATCAGAAGTTAAATGGGTCTTACTGTCAGGTAGGCTACTAAAGGACTGCAGTCTTAGTTGATTCTCAAACTTTATAGACAGAGCAAATCAAAGCAAGCCCGGCCCCAACAGTCAACCAAATCAGGCATTAGCTAAGAGCCCCGGACCTGAATGCTAGTTGGACGGCACTGATGTCTGTATCCTATCCATGGTGGCAACAATTATATGTAGCTACACTGTCTTGGCCTATAGATCTGTGAAATCTACAGTCCAGGTCCTAGTGGGACTATAAATATATAAAATGTATAGATTTTATAGATCTATAGTATGGAACAGTGCAGTTTGGTGAGCATTCTCAAAACTGCTGGATTCATACCTGACAATTCAGCATCAGCATAATGTGGCTATGATCCACAGCCCATTTACTCCAGAGCAGCCCCTCTAGATTCAAATGGGCTTTATGCCCGCGCTCAGCCCAGCCTCCAACAATAACTCTGTCTGAAAACACAGAAATTCCACCCACACACTGCAGCCTGCATGAGAGTAGGCAAAGTAGATAACCATTTGTTATTAAGAATGCAATCAGAAAAGGCATAACAGGACACCCAAAATGGTTTTCACTTCACATTGAGATGAAGGCCTCATAACTTCAGACTTTTGTTTGCATTACACAAACTACTGTACTTTTTTACTGCCAACATTCT